GCAGGGATTTATTAAAAGGCCTCAATGGATCCACCTTGGGCAGCACAAGAGCCCAGCCAGGGCTGCACCCAAGATGAACCAAAATGGTCCCAAAATGCACGAGCGCTCACGGGGTCTGTCACTGTGATCAGTTCTGATCCATTTGCAGATTGGAGTTCATTGTCCCATTCCAGCTCCAGCCCATGCAGTCCCATCCTGCTTGTTTCTCTCTCTTCAGCCCACGCTGTTTGTGCTCTTGGGCTGAGGTTTGGATCATTTGTCCTTGGTGCCCAGCTAGAGCAGGAATTGTTTTGTCTCCCTGCTCAGTGCAGAGAGCTCACCATTCCCTCATATGAAGCTCAGAATTGCACACTAAAGCAGCACAGAATCTGAAAAATATAAAAGCTAAACCTGAGGCATCAAAACAGACTGTGCAAGACTGTGTGGTGGGGGAATAATGTTCCTGCTGTGCCCCTGGGGACTCCCTCACTCCAGGTGTGTCCTGGGGAGGCTGGAGTGTCTTTGTTCCCCTTCAAGCAGAGAATGGGTCCAGGCTGGCAGAGCTGGGCAGGCACAGAGGCAGTGCTGGCAGGGCTTCCAGTGCCTGCACACCCTGGGATGAGGAGGGGAAGGCTGGGCAGGGATCCCCAGCCCTGAGCTCTCCCTTTCTGGGACTGTGGGCACAGAAGGCTCTGTGGGAACACGTGGGATGCTTGGCTGGGGGAGGCTGGAGATGCAGAGCTGGAACTCAGTTTGCTGTGGCTGCATCCTGTCAGTGCTGCTGCCATCCTCTTCCTGAGGCAGGAAAATGAGATTCATTTTCCAGCAGGGATGAAACCCCCATCCCCCTGGCCCCTGCTGCTGGGGCGGCTCTGACCATCCTTTGCTGACTCCAGGATGAGCCCAGAGCTTGGGGGATGAGCATCCATCCTCTCCCTTCCCTTCCCTTCCCTTCCCTTCCCTTCCCTTCCCTTCCCTTCCCTTCCCTTCCCTTCCCATCCCGCTGTGCCCAGTCAGACACAGCTCCTGGACTGGCACAGAGCAACCAGAGAACCACGAGGGGCTCAGGACCCTCCCCACTGCTCCCTTTCTTTGACACCAGCAGTGGAAGGGTTACAATGAATCCTTCTGTGCAGAGCTTCTGGAATTCCAGATCCTCAGAGTGCTGGAGAGAAACGCAGCAGGAATTGGAAATATTTGACCCCAGTAATGGAGCGGCATTGCTGGACATTATTTTGGACATGGTTCGTGCAGCCTGGGGGGGGTGAGGGCAGCTCTGGGTGCTGCAGCCTTGGGGTCACACGAGGACACCACAGGGAGGGCAGGGATGCTGCTCCAGCCTTGTCGAGGAAAGGGATGGAGCTCTCCTGGAGGCTCTCCAGGGGAGCAGCCAGCCCTCCTCCATCTCAGGGAGGCTCCTGCCTCGCCCTCCCGCTGCTGGTCCTGTCTCTCAGGGCTCACGGTGACATGCTGTGGTTTCTGTGTCCCTTGAGGAGCTGGCACGGGGCTGGCCATGGGGACAGCAGTCTGCTGTGACAGTTGGGCTGTGCTCCCCAGCTGCTTCCTTCACAAGTCCTGATCCCTTCCTGATCATCTGCCGAGCTGGGTCAGTTCAGCCAGGCAGCAGCAAAGCCAGGTGAGGAAATGCCTGCCAGGGAGCTGAATCAGCTCCCTGAAGCACCAAACGACCTCTAGACCAAAATTAAAGGGTGAAAGCAGTTCCCTGGTTTCCAGCTCATCTTCCTCAGCCAGCGCTGACCTGTTCCAGTGCCAGGGTGAGCAATCACCTCCTGCAGTGAGTGGCTGCAGTGCGGGCGCTGTGCAGACCTTGCCCTGCTCAGCCCCTTCCTCCCACACCTGTGGCTCCCTTGGGGGCCCTGCAGTGCTGACAGCTGGAGAAGGTCCCTTCCTCATCCTGGCAGCTGCATTTCCAGTTGGGAAAGGCAGCCTGGAGCATTAGCATCGCCTGAGTGTACCCAAACCAGGCTGTCAGCGTGGCCTGGATCCCCAGCATGAGCCCCAGTTGTTTTCCAGCCCGATGGGACACACCCTTAGACAGGAAATAACCCAGAGTCTCAGTGAAAAGCACTTTGTTTCTTTTGGGGCACTTTAATTGACTCTGCACCCCTGCAGCAGCGCAGGAGCCACTGGGGCACCGCTGCTGCAGCTGCCCGCGTGGCAGGGCAGTGCTTCAGCCACTCCAGCAGTGACACCGGGGATGGCTGCCACCTCTCTACTGGAATTTCGTGTGCACGTACTCAGCCCCGTGCTCCTGGTACTCGCCCTTTGTCATCCACGAGTGCTGGAAGGACGTGAGCGAGGCTGCCATGGAGCCCCCAGCCCAGGCTGCCGTGCCCCTCCGGGGGTTCGCCAGCACCTCGATGTGCACACCTGCTCCTTGGAAAAGGCAGTTCAGCTCCAAGCACATCCTCTCGGGAAAGCCAGGAAACATGGAGGAGCCTCCAGAGAGCACGATGTTGCCCAGAATGTGTCTCCTGGCCTGCTTGGACAGCGCCTGCAGGCTCTGCCCGGCCAGCTGGTGCAGGCCGGGGCAGCTGAGCTGCAGCAGCTCTGGCCGGAACAGCGGCTCTGGGCAGCAGAAGCGCTCCTTGCCCAGGGTGATCCAGTGCCCATCGGGGGTCTGGAACCTGGCTGGGGCATGGGAGCCCTTCTGGAGGTCTCCCTCGTAGTCCAAGGACACGTAGCAGCATTGCTCCTTCAGCTGGGTCAGCACCTTCTTCGTCAGGGCCTGCAGCGCCGAGGGCTCCGCGGGGCTCTGCAGCAGCAGCCGCTGCAGGTGCCTGGACAGCTGGTCCCCGGCCACCCCCAGGCAGCGGGTGCCCTTCCTCAGGGTCTGGCCCCCCAGCACGGAGGTGACGTGGGACACCGCCGCCCCGGCCTCCACGGCCAGCCCGGAGACCCTGCCGTGGGCGCAGAGCGACAGGAAGCCGGTGTTGGCCAGGTGCAGGGCGGGCACGCCGAGGCTCTCGAACAGCACCTCGGCCGCCTTCGCCCTGTCGGCGGCGGGGCAGGACGGGGACTCGGCCAGGAGCACCGGGTGCTCCTCTGGGGACACTTTGAGGCAGCAGCAGAAGAGGTGGCTCCACAGGGCTCTCATGCCCTCCCAGTCCTCAACGAGGCCGTACTTGAGCGGGCAGCACCGCAGGGCTGCGGCCGAGCACCGCGGGCTCTCCGTGCCAGGGCAGGGCTGCCACGGCGTGCCCAGGCTGCAGGGCGGCACCAGCACCGTCCTCAGCACGCACTGGGGCTGCCGCTGGCCCGCAAAGCCGCCCCGCGTGAAGCGGCTGCCGCTGTCTATGACCACGGCGGGCTTCAGCATGGCTGGCGCTCCGCAGGGACGCCGGGCACGGAGGAAGAGCCTGCGGTGGAACAAGAGGGGTCTGGTGAGGGCAAACCAGGCTCAGGTGCCTGCTCTGCACTGGAGGACAGCAGTGTCTGCTCTGGAAGTGTCTGGGTCTGTCCCTCCTGGCTGCTCGCTCCCTGTCTCGCTGAGCATCCCTCCTTCTCTCCAGAGATTTTCTAACAGTGCAAGGACAGAGTTCAGGTGGTTTTAAGGAAGCAAGTGAACACTGGACATGAAAGTTGAGTGGTTGGACCAAATCCTGGGCTGTATCTGAAGGAGAGGGGCCAGGAGGTCAAAGGAGGTGACTCTTCTCAGCTACTCTGCTCTTGTGAGACCCCATTTGGAATATTGTGCACAGCTCTGGTGTCTCCAGCGTAAGAAGAACATGGAACTGTTGGAGCAATTCCAGAGGAGGCCACAGAGGTGCTGAGGGCACTGGAGCACCTCCCCTCTGGAGGCAGGCTGAGAGAGCTGGGGCTCTTGAGGCTGGAGAAGAGAAGGTTGTGAGGAGACCTCCCAGCACCTTCCCAGAGTGTGAAGGGCTACAGAGAAGTGACAGAGGACTCTTTGTCAGGAACTGCAGTGACAGGAAAAGGGGAATGGGATTCAACTGAAAGAGGGGAAATTTATGCTGGGTATTAAATGCATGAGGTTCTCTACTGTGAGGGTGGGCAGGCCCTGGCACAGCCGTGGCTGCCCCTGGATCTCTGGCAGTACCCAAGGTCAGGCTGGATGGGGCTTGGAGCAGCCTGGGACAGTGGAAGGTGGAAGGGGGGGATTGGAACTGGATGATCTCTGAGGTCTGTTCCAATCCCTTAACATCCTATAATTCTATAAATGCTGCTGCCAGCAGAGCCCATCGCACACGGAGAGGAGCTGAGAGGATCTGTGATCCCAGCTGGCAGAGAAGGGCAGGAGTTTGGGGTGCCTCTGTGTGTGTCCAGGCCCTTCCCTGGCTCTCTGTGCCTCCCAGACCTGCTCCTGTGGCATGGTGTGCCTCTTGACCCATTCTTTGGGCACTGTCCAGGCCAGTGACCCCTTTGTTCTCCCCAAAGCTTCTCACATGCCCCTCTGGTTGAACTTTTACACCCCCAGTGTAAGGACCCGTCAGAAATTCATCAGGGAATGTCTCAGGGGAGCAGCCAGGCTGGCACTGTTTCCCTGGGCAGAGAGGGCACAAAGCCAGCTCCTGCCTGGGCTGCCAGTGGTGGGGGGTCCCTGCAGGAGCTGCCAGCACCCAGGGGGCCACCACAGGCTCCCAGCCCTGTCCCCAGCCCTGCAGTGAGCAGGAGGCACAGGGGATGCTGTGCCAGCCCTGGGGCCCTCCCTGGGCTGGGGGCTGTCCCTGAGAGTGACCTTGACCTTGTGGCTTGTGTCCATCTGCCCTCCTGCACAGCTCCTGGAGCTGGCAGCGCTGGGCCAGGGCTGGCAGTGCCCATGGAACCGTGGTTGTATTCCCTGTTGTGATCTCACAGCAACGCACCCCGAGGGTTCTTCTGCCCCACAGCCACACTTCTGCCCCCAAGGTTGTGGTGATAATTAAAATTTGATTGAAACCATCCCCGTTTGGTTTATTTAAGGGACAGCCCCTCCCCGGTGTGGCTCTGCTGCCCCTGCACAGAGGCAGATCTGACAGGTGCTGTCCCCTCTCCCCCAGAGGTACGAGACAGCCTCGAAGATGGAGCAGTTCCTGACGCGGTTCCTGCTGCGGGAAACCATGCACCAGCTGCAGTCCCTGCAGGTGTCCCTCGAGTGCGCCGTGGACACCGTGGAGGAGCAGGCGGGACGGGAGAGGTACCGGGATGGGAGGGGAGAGGTACCGGGATGGGACGGGAGAGGTACCGGGATGGGACGGGAGAGGTACCGGGATGGGACGGGAGAGGTACCGGGATGGGACGGGAGAGGTACCGGGATGGGACGGGAGAGGTACCGGGATGGGACGGGAGAGGTACCGGGATGGGACGGGAGAGGTACCGGGATGGGACGGGAGAGGTACCGGGATGGGACGGGAGAGGTACCGGGATGGGACGGGAGAGGTACCGGGTGGGATGTGCCCAGCCCCTGTCCCCAGCCCCTCCTCACTGGGAGGGACGGCCAGGAGCCCCTTCCCAGCCCAGTGCTGAGCTCACACCTCTAGGAATGACTTCAACCCATCTTTTGTTTTGGTGTCTCTTTTTTTTTGTGTGGTTTTTTTTTTTTTTTTTTTTTTTTTTTGTTTGTTTGTTTGTTTTAAATTCCAGAAAGGAGGTCAAGAAATCGGAGACTTCAGTTGGCCTGAGGTCAGGGAGGCGGTGTGGGCGCAGGGGACAGAAGAACGTCTGCCTGTCCCCAACAGACCCCTACTCTGGGATGCTGACAACAGGTACCTGCTGTTCCTCGGGTTCTTGGTGTCCTGCTGGAGCCTGGAGGGGGTGTGGGACCAGCACAGATTCACAGTAAGGTGGGAACAGATCTCCAGGATTGGGTTCAGCCATTCCCCCAGCACTGCCAAGGCCACCACTGACCTGTGTCCCCAAGTGCCACATCTCCAGCAGCACTGGGCACTGGGGGCTCCTCCAGGATGGAGCCTGGAGCATCTTGCCCAGATGCCAGCTGCAGCTTCTGGGGGATGTTGTATCTCTTGGGCAACAGAAAAAAAATCAAGTTTTTTGGATTAAATCCGAGGTTTAGAGCAGTGTGTGAGCAGGAGGCACAGGGGATGCTGTGCCAGCCCTGGGGCCCTCCCTGGGCTGGGGGCTGTCCCTGAGAGTGACCTTGACCTTGTGGCTTGTGTCCATCTGCCCTCCTGCACAGCTCCTGGAGCTTTTGTGGGTTTTGGGTCTTGGGCAAGCTTTGGCTGTGACAAAACTGAGCTTTTTTTGGGTGACACCTCTGTGCCCTTTGCCCTGTAGGTGTTTGTGTCGAGGACAACAGCCAGTGGATGGCTCAGATCAACAGGCTCCAGCAGCTCATCGAGAAGCTGGAGTGCAAGGTGTGTGCCCAGGGGGTGCTGGGGCTGCCCCACACCTGGGCACGGCCACGTCAGTGCTGGGACCCCCCTCCCGTGCCAGCAGCCCCCTCTCCAGCCCTGGCATTGTCACAGAGCCATGCCGGCCCCAGCCCTGCATCCCCTTCCCCCAGCTCTGCTGACCCTGGCCTGGCTTCCCCTGGTGCTGAGGGGTCCATCAGGCCCCACTGACCCCACAGGGCTGCAGGGCACAGCCCTGCCCTCCCCCAGTGCCACAGGCAGTGTCCCTGGGGTGGCACCCAGCTGTCCCCGGGGTCGGTGCCACTCCTGCTGCAGAGCTCTCCTGGTGACTGGTTTATCCCAGTAATTCTGGTTTATCCCAGTAACTCTGGCTTTACCCAGTAACTCTGGTTTTACCCAGTAACTCTGGCTTTTCCCTGGTGCTAACGCAGAGCCCCCGCCTGGAGCCACTGAAGGAGGAAGCCATGTGCAAGGGACAGGATGCAGTAAGTCCCTGTCCCTGTCCATGTCTGTGTCCCCATCCCTGTCCCTGTCCCTATCCCTGTCCCTGTCCCAGTCTGTGTCCCTGTCCATGTCTATATCCCTGTCCCTGTCCCTGCCCCTGTCCCCATCCTTGTCCCTGTCCCTGTCCATGTCCCTGTCCCTATCCCTGTCCCTGTCCCTGTCCCAGTCCCTGTCTGTATCCCCATCCCTGTCCCTGCCCCTGTCCCTCTCCCTGTCCCCATCCCTGTCCCTCTCCCTGTCCCCATCCCTGTCCCTGTCCCTGTCCCCGTGGTTTGCAGTGACCCCTCTCACACGCTGCCCAGCCTGGGAGCTCTGCTGTGACCCGCTGATGGAGCAGGGTGGGATGCAGGGCTGGGATGCAGGGCTGGGATGCAGGGTGGGATGCAGGGCTGGGACCATCCACGGGACAAACGCAGGTGCCTCGTGTCCCTGCCAGCCCCGGGCAGTGCCCGCAGCTGGGTGCCCCCACCCCGGGGTGCTGGGGGTGCCCGCAGAGCCGGGCGGGGGGGTCCCCCAGCCCTTTCAGTGGGGGACCAGCAGCAGGACCCCCGGGATGGAGCCTGTCCTGCTGCTCCCTGCACGCAGCTGCCCAGCGGGGACAGCCCGGGGACGGGCCGGGCAGCAGGGGACAGCCCCTGACACCGCGCTGTCCCTCGGCAGCACATCCTGGTGGCCAAGCGGCAGATCTCGGTGGCCACGAGCGGCATCGAGGAGTTCCGGCAGGCGTTCCGCTCCTACACCGAGGGCACGGCCGGGCACAGCAGCTGCCTGCAGTGAGTGCGGTTTGCTCGGGGCTGGATCCCCCAGAAATGCGGGTTTAGCACCCTCGGGGACACAGGGCTTTGGGTGATGTTTGTGTGCTGGCCTGGCAGGCAGTGTGCCCCAGTGCCATCCCGGCTGCTGCAGGTGTTCCCAGTAAGAACCAGTGCCTGGCGGGCAGCGGGAGGGTTGTGCCAGGAGGAGTGGCTGTGCCCTGTTCCTGTGAGTGCGTGCACAGCTCCTCCAGCGCTGAAGGACTCAAAAGCAGAGGGAAGGCCAAGGGCAGGGCTCTCCGATGGATGGAGAGCCTGTGGGAAGCTGCCACGAGCACCCTGGGTGAGGCCAAGGCTGCCCCAGAGCCCTGCAGGGCCATGGCAGTGCCAGCCTGGCCCTGATGGCACAGCTGCTGCCTCCCCTCTCCCACGGGACACCCCAGGCTCCTCCAGCAGGGAATGTTCCTGCTGTTCCCGTTTCGAGTGTCCTTTCTCAGCTCTTCACTTTCAACAGCGCAAATTCACATTTTCAGTCCAAACAAAAGGAAGATGCTCGCTGTGACACGTGTGGTGGAGAGAATGAGAGGCTTTTTTTTTGGAACTGATGGGGTTTTTGTCATCAGGGCTATTTGTGGAAGCAGGGTGCTGTGTGGGCTGGCTCTCCACGTGAGCCAAAGGCTGGAGCCGAGCCTTTTTTGTCATCAGGGCTATTTGTGGAAGCTGGGTGCTGTGTGGGCTGGCTCTCCACGTGATGAGCCAAAGGCTGGAGCCGAGCCCGGGGCACTCCGTGGGGCTGGGTCCCTGCAGGGAACACAGAGCCCCGTGTGGGAGCAGGGCACACAGCCCCAGAGCTGCTGGGTGACACTCTGTGCTGTCCCCCGGGGCTTGGCCTCCTCCAGCAGCTGCAGCAAAGGCTTGGCCTCAGCTGGAATTGCTGCTGCTGCACCCAGCACAGCTGCCTCCCCTGGCCCCGCACCCCAGCACTGCAGTCACCCCTGGCTGCCTCCCCAGCTCCACCCCAGCCTCTCCTGGGCCCCAGGGAATGTGGGATTTATCACTCTGGGGGCAGAGAGCTGGGGGTTTGTGCTGTGAGCTCAGCTCCTGCCCCCGTGCCTCAGTTTCCCCCCGTGTGAAGGGTGACACCCACCTACTCCAAGGGGCTGGCAGAGCTGTGTCAGTGCTGGGGAGGAGAAAAAAATAATAAAACACAGGACGTGCTGGCTCCTGGGCAGCAGCAAAGACCAGTGAGAGAGCTGTAAAGCTCCTCTGCCCCCTGCACACGGGAGCTGTGGAGCAGGATTTGGGTTTGGAACCCTCTGGAGCTGTGAATGCACCCAAACTGTGCCTTGGGAGCTGATGGGAGGCAGATGTGCACAGCAGTGCCCTGCTGCCCCGGGCTGCTGGGGCACACGTGGCCATGCCGTGCCAGGCTGGTGTAGGGCTGTGCCAGGGCCGTGCCAGGGCCGTGCCAGCCTGCCCAGCCCTGCTGAGGGTCACTCTGTCCCCACAGTGTCTCTGCCTGCAAGCTGACGGACGAGGCCTGCTTCATCCTCTACGAGTTCTGGCAGGACGTGACCTCGTGGAGGAGGTGGGACAGTGCCCAGGGGTGGGGCTGGGGGGCTCAAAGGGGGTGCCCACTGCTCCCTTCCCTTGCCCAGCCTGTCCCCCTGCTCTGCCCTGGGGCCACCTGCACTCCCGGGGGTGAGCACCCCGATAAAGGGTTTGGGGAGCAGGGCAGGAGCAGGGGCTGGTGCTGGGGGTGCAGAAGCTGCCCTGTCCCTGTGTGTGGGCACAGGGCCCTGGCACCACACCCCCCTGACCCTGCACCCTGTCTGACAGCCACTTGCAGTCCAGCTGCAGCAAGACTTTCCAGCAGTCCATCCTCAGCTTGCTGGAGTCCCCGGAGCTGCTGACCACCATGCTCTTCCCAGGTGAGGCTGCCTCAGCCCTGCCCTGCCCGTGCTGCAGAGGGCAGGAGAACAGGAGCAGGCACTGTGGCTCCCTTCAGGGCAGAAAATCGGTTTGGGGTGACCTAAATGAGCTCAAACCTCAGGGTGAGACCCATTGTCCCCAGCAGGTTTGGCTGTGTGGGCTGGGGTCTGTCCCCTGCCCACGGTGGGGACAGCCAGGAGCAGGGACACTGCCTGGGTAGCAGATAAGCTGAGTCCTGCCCCAAGTACAGCTGGTGCCTCGTTTTGTGTCTCCCCCAAGCCCTGAACCTGCTCTGCAAAGCCCTGGTGCTGCCAGCTCAGTGCAGGGGTTCCAGCCCAGTGCTGGGGCAGGGCAGGCAGCACAGGGAACAGCCACACTCCCAGGGTACCCATGGAAGTGGGACCAGCTGGGGGGACTGGCAACCAAATTCAGCCCCAGTTTGCTTTCAGAGATCATTTCAGGGTCTTGTAAAATATTAGTTCATAAAACATGGATAATTTGGACTGAATCCTGCACTGCTGGTGCTGCTCCCGACTGGCCAGTGCCACTGACCACGTTCCCAGTGCTCTCCTGCAGAAGTTGCACAGTTCCAGGGGCTCACCCTCTCCAGGCTCCCTCCCGGGGTGGGTGCTTTGGAGCCAGGGACCCGCAGGGTGAGGTCCCCCATCTCTGCCACCCCAAATCCCCATTCCCAGTCCCACACTGTCCTCAGGTCCCTGCTTTCCCTCTCTTCCCAGCTTCCTGGTGGATCATGAACAACAACTGACCCGGGGCAGCTCTCCAGGACACCATCAGCATGCGGGAGGACGTGGAACCTGGGCACAGCCCTTGTCACCTTTGTCACCTCCCTGTCCCTCCATTCCCTCCTGTGGCCAGCGGGGGCTGCCTGCCCCCGGCCCTGCCAGTGTTTTCGCTCCTTTGCTCTTTTCATGTTAATTTATTTATTTCTCCTGCTCCTAAGCCAGTGTCCGAGCTGCCTGTGGGGGCTGTGGGTGGGGTGGCAGCCTGGCCCCGGGGGGACACGGGGCTGGTGCTGCCCTCAGTCCCTCCTGCACTCAGCTCCTCTTCCTCCTGGCTCTGAGGCTGCCCAGGGATGGGCAGGGGGACACGGCCCTGGCCAGCTGTGACATCCTGCCCAAGGAGCCAGGTGGCCTCATATGGATTGTCAAGAGTGTTTTATAGGGAAAAAAACATTTCATGAAGTACTTCTGGCATGGTGTACCTGGCCATGCCCTGCCACGCTGGCAGCATGTGGCTTTGAGGCTGGCTTTGTGCCCCAGCAGCTGTGCCCACGGCTGGACCTGTCCCCAGCACATGCCACTGCCAGGCAAGGCCGAGGGGCTCCAGGCTCTGCTGCTTCCTCAGCTGCCAGAACCCAGCCTGGGCAGTGGGGAGGGGGCTGGGCTGGGGGCACTACGTGAGGGGGGAAGGCTGGGGCAGACCCCACCTGCTCCAGGCTGGCACTGGGGTTTCCTTGGTGCTGCTGCAGCAGCAGATCCTCTGCTGAGCCGGGAAAACAAGCATTGTCACAGCCAGAGTGCAGGGAGTGGGAGGGCACAGGGCCAGGAGGGACACCAGCCACGCTCCTGGCCTGGAGAACACCATCCCTGTGCCCCTGCCTGTCCTCACAGCAGTGTGGCACCAGGGGTGCCTGCACCCCAATCCTCACTCACCCAGGACCTGCTACCCCCCAAGCTCTTCTCCCACTCCCCGTGGGTGCTGCTCCAGCAGAACCATTGCTTTGAGTGTTTCTGCCCCAGTCCCTGATGCAGGCAGGACAAGCTGTGCCTGAAGCTGCCTCCTGGGGACCCCCACACGCTGTGCTGGGTGGGTCTGACACGGTGGCACCCCTGGCCCCAGGGGGTGACAGCACAGCAGGTCTCTGGTTTTTAGGGTGCTTGTTTTGCTCCTGCAGGAGCTGCCTGGCTTTGGGGTGCCAGGGCTGACCTGGCTGATGCCAGGAGCCACCTGCATAGATCAGGGAAGCTCCTGCTTGGAGGGACAGCAGCTGCTGCTGCCAGCCCAGCTGGGCACTGCCAGACCCCACCAGCCCAGGGCAGGCTCAGCACCCAAAGCACAAATGCCCCTCCCAGGGATGGGGGCAGGGCCTGTCCCTGTCCCCACGGGGACACATCCCCAAGCACCCCACTGTCTCCCTGGTTATCAGTCCCTGCTGCTGCCCCTGGCCAAAGCCAGGATCTGCTGGGACCGTGGGGCAGCAGGGGCAGCTGCAGGGCCACACTGCTGCCCCTGGGAGTGACAAACAGGGGATGCAGGGATATGCTGGAGCCACAGCAGCACCATCAGCAAGGGACAGACTGTGCCAGGGCACAGCCAGGGGGGTCAGAGAGGGGCAGCCACAGGGGCAGAGCTGCAGCAGGCACTGGTTTGGGATTCCTGAGCTGCCTCCCCAGCCCTGGGTGGGGTTCACCCCTCAGTTTTGGGTTTTTTCACCACTGGATTAATGTTTGCAGCAGCCTGGAGACCGAAATCCTCAGATTAAGCCAAGGTGTGGGCAGGGGGCATCCCTGGGGGGCACAGGGCTGGCAGTGGCAGCCAGCTGAGACAGAGCCCTGCAGGCTGCTCTGTGCTCACCTAAAAAAAGATCATTTAAAAAAAGCTCAGAAAACAACACACTGAGCTATAAACTCAAAGAAATCACTGAGGATAGGGCTGAACTGCAGCTCTGCCTGCACTTGCTCCCAGGCTTTGCCCACAACATCACCACCACAGGGAGGCAATTTTTGTCCCTAAAAGTCCCCTGGCCAAGGCCAAGGTGTGGCAGCATTCCCCAAAATCCCCAAGAGCTGCCTGAGCACTGCTGAAAACCTCTGCCCCTTCCCAGAGAGAAGGGAGCTGGAGGATGAATATAGTCTTTTTATTGACTACTTTTGAGTAGAACAAACTAAATACATCTGTAACAGTTTGGGTTCCTTTATACAGGACATTAAATAAGTTATGCACAGGAATGAAGTAACAAATTTCTATTACAGAATTAAATGTCAAAAAAAAAATAGAAACCTTAACCCAATGTCTTCCCACACCCAAGTTCACATTTATCATTCCATCTTTTAAAAAAATCAACAAAAAAGAAAAGAAGCAATCATTCTAATCATGACTGTTAGTATTTCATTCATTTACACTGGGGTTAATTTTAATACACAGCCATCAACGTTGCATGAGAATTATGGAAGACAATCTATTTACAAGCAGCTCCTTCCAGCCCTGCCCTGCTCCCCCAGCCCAGCCTGGCACTGCCACCACACCCCCACAGCACAAGGCTGGGGCTGCACGTGAGGAGGGGACACCACAACCACGTGGGAATGACCTGAGGCTGTTCCACAAGTGTCCCTTAGGGCAGGAAGTCCCTTCCTGACAGCCCCAGGATGGGCTGCTGCAGGTCAGGGTGGCTCCAGTGCCACCCCACTGGGAGCTGCCTCAATGCCAGTGTGCTCCAGCATCAGCTCCTGGGGGCACAGGACAGACATCCCCAGGGCCACTGGAGCTGTGGGATTCACCTTAACACCAGGAGACCTCGTGGCTTTTTAATAAAACCCTGCAGACCAGCTCCATCCCACAAGAGCAGCTTCCCAAGGGGCCAGGCTGGAGCAGCAGGTTCCCTGCTCACCCCCATGACAACTCATTACAGCTCCATTGTCGCCCTCCAACTGAAAAAGTGATCAAAAATAAATTGGGAATCACTTGCCTCACCGGGCTCCAGCCCAGCAGTGGCACACACACAGTCCCAAACACAGCTGTGCTGAAGAGAAGGATTTCTAGAGCCCTTGTGGGAGCTGGGAGCAGCTCCTGGAGGGCACGTCCCCTCCCTGCCATGGGCTGTGCCACTGCCACCCTGTGTGACACTGCTGGCCAGCCCTGCTGCAGGGCTGTGCTGTCACAGCCTGCACTGCCCTGGCTCCCCCCAGTCCCTTTTCCCACCCCACAGCAGGGACTCTGTGATGGACAGAGCTCCCCAGGCTGGCCCCCTTCCCCAGGGACCTCGTGATCCTCTGGTTTGGGGATCCTCTGATCCTGGGGTTTCAGGACAGTCTCTGAAGGTGGATGCACATCCCTGGGCATCTCTGGATGCAGCACTGCAGGAATCCCCTGGAGCAGGGGATAAAAATCCACACAGGACACCCAGTCCTGCATTTCTTTTACCGGTGTGAGTGGAGAGCACAGGCTGTAAACAACCTCTCGCACCAGTGAGGCTCCCTGGGCTCAAAAACAACAGCAGGAACTCACAAACCAGCAGCTTCCAGGCAGTGAAAAAACAAACCAAGGGCCCCCAGGTGGAAAGGGCACCTGCACCCAGCCCAGATCTGCTGTGCACGTGTTCCCCCAGCAGAGGCCCCACCCAGGAAACACCCAACTGTCTGTCTCACCACAGACCAGGATGAAACCCAGGCCATCCAGCAGCACCTCCCTGCCACTGCCTCTTGTTTTGGAGCAGCCACATCCCCTCCTCCCTCTCTGCAACCCTCAGCTGCCAGCCTGGAGGCAGGAGAAGTGGGCTCAGCTTTTGCCACTGCACAGAGGATGAGATGCTCCCGCTGGGAAATTGGCTCTGGTCTGTTCACAGCAACAGCCAGCCCACACAGCCACCTGAGGCACAGCTGCCTGGGAGCAGGGAAAAAACACGGATTTTATGAAGGAAAGGTGGCAGGAGGAGGCAGTGGTGGCTCTGACACCTTGGGAAGCGAGCCTGAGCATGCCACAAGGACAGGGCTCCCTGCTTGGGCACCACACTCTCAGCATCTCCTGTGTGTGCCAGCCCTCTCCCCCAAGTCCAGGTCCCCCAAGCGTGTGCCCAGTGCCCCCCAGGTCCTGACACTGCTCTGGTGTCCCCCTGAGAGGAGCAGGGAGATGCTGCAGGCGAGGCTCACCCCAGTCCACGAGCCACAAAGGAAAAGGCAGGATGAGAGGGCAAAGCCGGAGGGTCTGCGCTCCGATGTGTCAAATATGTCAAGTGATAACAGTTGCTGCAGGGGGTTTTCAGCTTCAAAACCCCAGGAACTCATCCAGTGGAGTGGAGGCAGGCCTCCCTCCTAGAGCCCGTTGGTGTCTATGGCTGTCACGGACGCTGGCGTGGAGGAGCGCGAGGTGGTGGCCGAGGTCTTCTCCAGGGCCGGGCTGGGGATGCCATCGAGGCTCTTGGCTGCTGCTGCCACCCGGCCCGAGGGCAGGGCCAGGGGCTTGCTCTGGCCGTGCAGGCCCTGCCCACAGATGCGGTGGTGCCTCTCCCAGTCCTTGTGCTGGCAGAAGGAGCCGCAGTAGCGCGCGATGTTGCAGCCGCTGCACGTCTCGCTGGCCTTGCGGCCGCAGTTCCAGCAGCTCTGCAAGACAAAGACACTGTGCTTGAAAGGGGCTCACGGAATCACAGAACCACGAGCATGGAAGAGACCTCCAAGATCACAGAGTCCAACCTATGTGCTAACACCTCAGTAGACTACAGCACCAAGTGCCATGTCCGGCCTTTTTGTAAACACATCCAGCGATGCTGATTCCACCACCTCCCTGGGAAGAGCACTCCAGTGCTTTATTATTTTTTTTGTGGAAATTTTTTTCCCAATATCCAACCTATACCCCCCCTGACATGGCTTGAGACTGTGTCCTTTTGTTCTGTCAGTTACTGCCTGGTGGAAGAGACCAACCCCCACCTATCTACAACCTCCCTTCAAGAAGTTGTAGAGAGCAATAAGGTCACCTCTAAGCCTCCTCTTCTCCAGGCTAAACAACCCCAGTTCCTTCAAATGCTCCTCATAGGGCTTGTGTTCCAAGTCCCTCACCAGCCTTCTTCCCCTCCTCTGGACGCACTCAAGCATCTCAACATCCCTAAACTGAGGGGCCAGAACTGGACACAGTTTAGTTTCCCTGGGAGCTGCAGGATGGTGCTGACTCAGCTCTGGAGGGGACTGTTCATCCCCTCTGGCCCAGATTTGAGAATATGGAAATGAGCAATCCATTAATTCCTGCTATTTCCCAGCTCTTTGCCAACGGTTCTAACCCCCACTGCTGTTTGCCCACAGCCGCTGTCACACTGCTCCAGGCACATCCTCTCCCCTAGACCCACCCGAATGCAGAGAGGAAACAGCAGGCATGGACTGAAAACCAGGCTGCAGATGCTGCTATTGGGCCTTTTTATTTCCTGTTTTAAGCAGCTCTATTTTGGTCTCGCTCCCAGCCAAGCGCTCTCCGCGGGGATCACGGCGCTGCACCGGCACCATTTGCTCCGCACCCTGCCTCGCTGCACAAGGGGCTGGAGCAGGCCAATTTGGAAAAGCAATTGCTCATTTGAAAGCCTCCCAGCCAGGTGGAAACACTGCCAGAGCCCGAGCTTCAACGTGGAAGCGCAGCAAAGCCCCTCTGGCCGCCGGGAGAGGTGTCAGCTGGTGGCTCCGCGTGCCACCGCTTCCCTCGCAGCGCAGGGCAAGGGGCCAGCCCCGAGCGAGGGCTGCAGCTGCTCTGGGGAGGGGAGGGACGGGGGAGCAGCTTCCCTGCAGCTGGGCCAGGGCGTAGCAAACACGCACTGGGGAGGGAAGCTCAGCTGTGGGAACGCAGCTTCTGTCAGAGCTGGCCTTTGTGGGGACATGGCTGCTGTGACCACCAGCAAAGAGCTGTGGGAGGGGGGTGCTGGGAGGTGCTGGGCTCCACCAGGCAGCCCTGCCCTGGGGAAGGGCTGGGAGATTCCCACTGCCAGGCTCAGCACCAGAGCCACCAGCTCACCATGATGATTTATGGGCTGGCAGTGAAGCACCTGACCGGTTCACTTTGGAGTGAGCTGCTCCAGAGCCCCTGTGTCCCCCAAGTCCTCCATCTTCCAGAAGAAGCAGGACTTGGGACCAAAAAGCCTCTACCAAAGGCTGTAGTAGTTAATGGAAAACTGGGTCACTCCTTTGCAGCTGTTTACTCTTCAAGTGTTTTTCAACTGTGTTGCAAAGGTTACAAGACGTGCCAGAACACAGGACAGCTTTTAGACAAGGGCTCTAGGGCTTGCACAGGGGTGCTCAGCAGCTCCCGAGGTCCCAGCCTGCTCCTCAGCACAGCTGGAGGAGGAGGACACTCCTCTGCTATTCCCCTATGGAGCAATCACTACTTGCTTCATTCCTTCCATGGCTTCCTGAGCAGTTCCACCCACTCCCATCATGCGACTGGTGCGTTCAACCCCCAGCAATTTCACTGGGAATTGCAGCATGGACATCATTCTCTGGAATGACACCTAGAAATTCCAAGGTTCTGGCCACACTTCCCGAGCCCCAGCTGAGCTGAAACCCACCAGGAGAGGGGATGGACGTGCTGCCCCCACATCCCAGACATGAACAGCACAGTCCCATCAGATTTCTGCTCCGCAGATACAAACCCTCTGCTCTTGTACATGTAGAGAAATTAAAATGGGGAGCAAAGCCCACATGGATGGGATGTGGTAGTGCAAGAATCAGCCATCTGATTCCCCTTGCTCAAAATCTCAAAAGCTCTACCAAGTGAACTTCCTGTTAAGGAACAGGGAGGGTGATTGAGGAGTAGAAAGAGATTCTCTGAGGCACCCATTCAGCACATGGCAGTGGCTATGACAAACCAAGATCCATCCCTTCTTATCCAACATGCAAGTGTGGTACAGACCACCAGGAATGTCCAAGAGCCTTTCCTGCAGCCCAGCTTCTGCCCTGCCCTATTTTCAAGCCCACAAAACAGAAATTTCTTTCCTGCAAAGATCAAGTACACCACCATAATTTCTGAGCTAAACTG